TTGTGGGGGACCGTGTCAAAGGCTTTGCAGAAGTCCAGATAGATGACGTCTGTTGGTTCTCCCTTGTCCACTGATGCTGTCACTCCATCATAGAAAGCCACTAGGTTCGTCAGGCAGGACTTGCCCTTGGTGAAGCCATGCTGGCTATCTCGAATTACCTCCCTGGCCTCCATGTGCCTTAGCATAGCTTCTAAGAGGATCTGTTTCATGATCTTCCCAGGCTCTCCAATTTGTCCAGGTCTCTTTGGATGACATCCCGTCCCTCAGGCGTGTCAACTGCACCACTCAGCTTGGTATTATCTTCAAACTTGCTGAGAGTGCACTTGATCTTGCTGTCTAAGTCATTGATGAAAACGTTAAACAGCACCGGTCCCAGTATGGACCCCTGAGGGACACCACTCGTCACCGGTCTCCATCTGGACATCGAGCCATTGATATCATGGTGCAGTGATCGTGTCTATACCAGAAAATGTCTGTTCAGTAGCTGTGAGCCCTTACCAAGCACACTGAGGGTATGTGTTAGTGTTTAGGGTATGTGTTAGTGTTTTCCTATGTTTTCATTCACAGGCGTAAACTGGCCTCTGCTGAAGGATGAATCTGTCAGGTAAAGGCCAATGAAACACAGACAGTTTGGATCATTTAATCTCTTTTGAATCTCTCAGAGCAAAAACTTGGCAGTCTGAAGAGTTCAAGACCTCATTTTTCCCCAATTATGTCGCTACTGTCATGTCTAATTGGTTATAGCTTTTGTTTTCATCTTTGTTACTGGGTATATTGCACGGTGCTTTAAGACCTTTCTGCGTGTCAGTCAAGCATGAGTCTGATTTCAACATGGAAGTTCAGTGGCAAGTTAGGTTCTCGAATAGGATATAGATCCAACAGCCTAACTCATGTGCGTGTCTTTAATTTCCTGGGCTGGGCTTGCACTCACTACTGCTGCCATAGATAGGAAATTGCTATACAGACATCAGGGAAATTCTTTTGGCTTTGAATAGGGGCAGTTAAGCTCAGGATCAGTTCCTAAACATTGAAAAGTGATTTATAAGGGAAGTATTGGTAAAATGAGACTAAATGCCAACTGAAACTAGATCATACTTTCCTTCCTTTCTACATGAGAAGGCATATTTTTTCTTTTTTTTTTTTTTCCAGCTGGTGGTATTGCAAAGCTGAATAAATACATGCAACTGCTGCCTCTGCCTGTCTCTTGTGAAGATATCAAACCTGGCACAAAGTGCAAAGTGGCTGGCTGGGGACTCATCTCTCCAGAAAAGCCGTCAGAATATCTTCAGGAAACAACTCTTGAGATTGTTGATAGAAAAAGCTGTGAGAAGAAATATGGAAAAAACGTAGAAATAACCAGAAACATGTTGTGTGCTGCGGGGAAAAATATATTTTTTAAGAGAGACACTTGCCAGGTAAGAAGAAACGTTACAAAGAGGAGGGGATGTGCTTTTAACAATGGTTCCCTTTTCACTGGGAACAAAGCAGTGCTAGACACTTAATGAGGCTGATCAGATTCACAGTGGTTTTAACCACATCTATAAGAGACTTTATTGCTGTGAAAAAGAAGTGTTAAAACTTCGAGTAGTTTAGGTCAACGTACACAACAGGGTTGAATGTACAGGAATTTGAGTCTGGGATAATTTCAGTTAACTTCAGGTGCATTTCTTTACCTCCTTAGGCACCACCTGTAGTTATTGGAGAAAAAGAACTTTCAGGGTCTGAATCATCTGATCCTTTCCAGATGTCAGCATCAGAATAGTACAGAATTAACTGTACACTCAAAAGTGCTGTTTGGATCTTGCTTTTAATGTCTTCTGTGCTGAGTCCAGAAGGGCCAATTGCTAAAGAAGCAAGAATCAATTTATACCAACAATAAAAAAATACCTTTTGAAATACAATTATGATAGCACTGTGCTGGTCAAGAACATCTACATCAAAGACTCCTCAGGCTTTAAAAGCAACCCCTCCTTCTACCTGACCCAACTCCCATGAAGTGACGAAAGCCAACTGACCCATTTTGTGGGTTGGAACAGATTAAAAGCAACTTTTCCAAACATGCTTACGCACTGCAGGTGGCACTACGTGCTCCTCTGGAGAGCAACAAACACACATTGATAGTTACTTCTGTTATGTGTTCTAGGGAGATTCAGGTGGGCCGTTAATCTGTGCCGGTTGATACAGTGGGATTGTTTCTATTGGAAAAGGATGTGGAAGAAGAGGCATGCCTGGAGTTTATACACGACTGACTGAAAAATATATTGACTGGATAAAAAAAATAATTTCCCTTCACAGAGATCCATGAGACAAGCAAGACAGTTTTAGCAAATACCCTGCTGTGCATTAGAACTAGATGCTGCTGCTCTTCTGCACCTTTAGAAAGTACATCCCAACTTCACAGCTTTACTAACACCACCACAGCTTTATGAGAACTGTTAAAAATATTCCCCTTCGTACAGATAACGTTTACTCGTCTTTAGTAGGAAACTGCCTCTTAGATAACACAATTTGTATTGGACTTTACCTGCTTCTCAGCGTGATGGGAAAGTACTGCTCGCCTTACTCATAGTGCCTGGCATGAGGCAACATTTTTGAATGGGTACTTACATAAAAAATTCAATTTCTGATTGATAGTGAATGAGATGTCTGCTGAATGAGAAAAAACAGAACAAAATCTTTAAGTGTTCAAGTATTTCTCTGTGATGTTATTCAAAACCAAATACTTCATGATTGCTAAATATTTAACTAAATTAATTTTTATAAAAGTATTAAATGGATAAACATTTTTCCAATTAATCGTCCATTTTGAGAGAGAAAAAAAAATTTCTCTTTTTTTTCTGTATTATTTTCCTTTTTTTTTTTTTGGTGATCAAATCAACAAAATAATCCCTTTTCACAGCTTGGTTCATGATCTCACCCTTTCAGTGAATGTTCTGTTGAAAAAAGTATAAATACTGATTGTAATGGGAGTAATTATACTTCTCTAACACAGTCCCTATCTAACACCTGTCAAAACAAACAGGAATTTTGCTATGGATTTCAAGACTTCTACTAACAGAAGAGCCTGCTGTGTTTCTGAAGTTACAAAGAGGAGGGGATGTGCTTTTAACAATGGTTCCCTTTTCACTGGGAACAAAGCAGTGCTAGACACTTAATGAGGCTGATCAGATTCACAGTGGTTTTAACCACATCTATAAGAGACTTTATTGCTGTGAAAAAGAAGTGTTAAAACTTCGAGTAGTTTAGGTCAACGTACACAACAGGGTTGAATGTACAGGAATTTGAGTCTGGGATAATTTCAGTTAACTTCAGGTGCATTTCTTTACCTCCTTAGGCACCACCTGTAGTTATTGGAGAAAAAGAACTTTCAGGGTCTGAATCATCTGATCCTTTCCAGATGTCAGCATCAGAATAGTACAGAATTAACTGTACACTCAAAAGTGCTGTTTGGATCTTGCTTTTAATGTCTTCTGTGCTGAGTCCAGAAGGGCCAATTGCTAAAGAAGCAAGAATCAATTTATACCAACAATAAAAAAATACCTTTTGAAATACAATTATGATAGCACTGTGCTGGTCAAGAACATCTACATCAAAGACTCCTCAGGCTTTAAAAGCAACCCCTCCTTCTACCTGACCCAACTCCCATGAAGTGACGAAAGCCAACTGACCCATTTTGTGGGTTGGAACAGATTAAAAGCAACTTTTCCAAACATGCTTACGCACTGCAGGTGGCACTACGTGCTCCTCTGGAGAGCAACAAACACACATTGATAGTTACTTCTGTTATGTGTTCTAGGGAGATTCAGGTGGGCCGTTAATCTGTGCCGGTTGATACAGTGGGATTGTTTCTATTGGAAAAGGATGTGGAAGAAGAGGCATGCCTGGAGTTTATACACGACTGACTGAAAAATATATTGACTGGATAAAAAAAATAATTTCCCTTCACAGAGATCCATGAGACAAGCAAGACAGTTTTAGCAAATACCCTGCTGTGCATTAGAACTAGATGCTGCTGCTCTTCTGCACCTTTAGAAAGTACATCCCAACTTCACAGCTTTACTAACACCACCACAGCTTTATGAGAACTGTTAAAAATATTCCCCTTCGTACAGATAACGTTTACTCGTCTTTAGTAGGAAACTGCCTTTTAGATAACACAATTTGTATTGGACTTTACCTGCTTCTCAGCGTGATGGGAAAGTACTGCTCGCCTTACTCATAGTGCCTGGCATGAGGCAACATTTTTGAATGGGTACTTACATAAAAAATTCAATTTCTGATTGATAGTGAATGAGATGTCTGCTGAATGAGAAAAAACAGAACAAAATCTTTAAGTGTTCAAGTATTTCTCTGTGATGTTATTCAAAACCAAATACTTCATGATTGCTAAATATTTAACTAAATTAATTTTTATAAAAGTATTAAACGGATAAACATTTTTCCAATTAATCGTCCATTTTGAGAGAGAAAAAAAAATTTCTCTTTTTTTTCTGTATTATTTTCCTTTTTTTTTTTTTGGTGATCAAATCAACAAAATAATCCCTTTTCACAGCTTGGTTCATGATCTCACCCTTTCAGTGAATGTTCTGTTGAAAAAAGTATAAATACTGATTGTAATGGGAGTAATTATACTTCTCTAACACAGTCCCTATCTAACACCTGTCAAAACAAACAGGAATTTTGCTATGGATTTCAAGACTTCTACTAACAGAAGAGCCTGCTGTGTTTCTGAAGAAGCCTGTGGCTAGCTTGGTGTATTCCCATTATCTTCCAAATATTCTTGAGGTCTTTTTTTGCCAACAGTTTAGAAGTGACCATCTGCAGTGTTTCTCTGCTTCTTTGGTTATTGCATTAATATGTACCAAATACTATAAACTTTGGGATGTTGCAGAGGCATGAATAAATAACTCCAACACATGAACATGCTGGCCTTGATTACTGACCATCAGCCATGTCACTGTGCTGAACAGAGCAAGCCCTGTCTCATAAAGGCTATGCAGATAAAGGATCAAATGGACACCGCAAAGCTGAGTTGGTCATTGACCACGGTGCCATAAAACCAGCTGATGTGGTATATGGGGGCTTGGGCTACGGGGGCTTGATCCAATTCTCACTGAAGGTCATGGAAAGATCTTCAGAGATGCCAGTGAGAATTGGCTCAGGCCTGGAACACAGACAGAAACTGGGAAAAACTGGGGGAAAAAAGGGGAAG